GCTGTCGGCGGAGGCCTGGGGCCAGCCGGGGTGCGCGCCCGCGCCGCCCGCGTGATTGGCGGGCCCGCCGCCCGCCCCCTGGAGGTACGGCAGGCCGGGCAGCATGGAGCCCACGCGCGTAGTGGGAACGTAGACTGGGGAGCTCGCCGCGGCCGCGGCCGCAGCCGCGGCGGCCGCCGAGTGCACGAAGCCGCCGGGCGCGCCGTCGTAAGCGGCGGGCCCCTGGCTGGAGAGGGCGGCGAGGGTCTGGTACATCTCCTCGGGCTGCTCGGGGGCGAAAGGGCTCAGCTTGGCGCCGCGGCTGGACCACAGCAGCTTGCTGGCGGTCGCGGCCTGGTCGAGGTCAGTGAAGAGCAATAGGTCCTCCCAGCTCGACAGGGCGCCCCCGGGGCCAGAGATCCCCGGCGCCGAAGGTCCGTGGGGAGCCCCGAAGGGATGCGAGGCGTAGGGGCTAAGCAGCAGCGAGCGGGCCGTGGGTCCCGCCGCCGCCTCCGTGTCGAGCTGCGGTGTCCTGCAGTTGCTGGCGCCGCCGGGGCCGCGCTCCCCACCGCGAGAGCAGCAGGAGGAAGAAGAGGAGGAGATGGGGGAAGGCGGCGTAGAGGGCTCCCGCGCTGGAAAGGCTCCTGAGTCGCCAGCGTCCGCAGGCGCGGCCCCGAAGCGCTTCGGCAGGCACCAGCCGCCGTCAGTCAAGGCCATCCACGGTCCGGCACCGCTCCTAGCTGACTTCTAGCTCCTGAGACCGGATGGGGAGGGAGACAGGGTCGGGAGGAGAGAGAAAAAAGGAGTTATCCAAAGCGCAGGCTGCACAACATCTTGCCTCCACTCCCCTCCCTAGCTAAAGAGATTCCTCAGAGATCCCGTTTCAGCCCCGGGCTCAAGGGGTGGGTAAGGAGAGGGGCATGGGGCCTGCGCAGCCGCCACAGGATCTTCCCAGGACCCGGATACAAGCTCTCCCTCACCCGCACGGCTCGGGTCCCTTCGCGCTCCCCTCCCACCCCCTCCGCAGCATCCTTCATCAGCGCGAGCGCCAGACCCCAAGGGTGACTGCGAGGCTGGCCGAGGTTTTCCTTCCGCCCCGAAGCGGCTCCCTCCTGGCTGATGGCACACAAAGGAACTTTTTAAGTAGCCGTGCGTGTCGGCGCTGCCTTATCATTCCTCCGTACGAGGGTCGCTCGCTCGGAATGCCTCAATATGAGAGCTGCCCGCGTGAAAATCATTAGCACAGGGAAGGCAACCTGTTCCCGAAAACGAAACCGCCGCGTTCTCCCATACTGGCTTTCCCAGAGCTTCCCGGACTGCGCTGACGAGACAGAACGCGAGCCCCGGAGAGAAACGCAACCCAGCCCTGGAAGGTGGGGCCGCAGGGCGGAGACCGCAGTCTCGGACCTTCGGGACATAGGCAGTTCGGGACGCGTGCGGGGCCGGAGTCTCCTGCCCGACCCGCGTCCCCGCGGCGCCGCACACCTTAAGACACCGCTCGCCTCTGCAGCCGCCAGCGCGTGCGCTCACGCCGGCCGCGCCACGCCGGCCAGACCACCCCGTCCCACCCCGCGGTCATCCCCAGCCGCGGAAAGGCCAGACCGTTCCGGAATCGGACGTAGCGGGGTGGAGCGGAGCGCAGAGAAAAGGAGGGGGAAATGTAAGGGGGGACGCGAGACCGCCCCGGAGCCGAGGCCACCCCAAAGGGGAGAGCAGGAAGAATGACAGGGAGACAAGGAGGGGGTGGAGGAGGGGGGCGAAATACAGCCGGACTGGCCTTCTCGGGGCTGCTTTTCCAAACCGCCAGGGCTCATCGGAGATAACCATACTAAAATTAATACCCACACACAGACCGGGACCAGATAGCAGGAAAGAAGTCTCTGCCCGCCTGACTGCCGGCTCCCGCCCCTTTGCGCCAAGATAACTCGGAGATAAGGCTGCGCACAGATAAGCGCTTCGGGGAGAGGAAAAGACACCATAAGTCGGTCCGCGGTGTCCCGGGAACCTGGGTGCCTGCTGGGAGTGGAGAAGGTAGAAACCCTCGAAGCCGATCGCGGCCCGCAGAGGGCCGGAGAGCCGAGGCCGACGGGCCAGCGACGGGTGGGGGGTGCAGAGGAGGAAAGAAGAGAGATCGTGCAAGAGAGGAAGCAGCCGAACCTCGGGTGGGCGCTGCGCATGGAGAACAGCCGTGGCGGAGGGGGCTCCAGAGCGCTGAGAGAGGCCGAGGGCGCCGGCAGGCGAGCGCGAGTCCGGGGTCTGCGCGGTGTTGCTGGTGAATAAAAAGGAGAGAGGAGGCGCCTCTTACAGCTCTGCCGGAAAACTGCAGCCTGCGCTCCTGATTGGACTCACCGAGCCCTAAACAAACAGCGCTCGCCGAAGGGTGCCAGGCTGTGGGTCGGAACTGCGCTCTGCGAGCAGCTGGGCGCTGGAGGTGAAGAGGAGGAGGAAGAGGAGGAGGAGGGAGCTGGGGGAGGAGAGAAAAGAGGGTGGGGAGGAGACGGCGGGCGGCGGGGGGGGGGGGGCGTCCCGGACTGCGCTGACGAGACAGAACGCGAGCCCCGGAGAGAAACGCAACCCAGCCCTGGAAGGTGGGGCCGCAGGGCGGAGACCGCAGTCTCGGACCTTCGGGACATAGGCAGTTCGGGACGCGTGCGGGGCCGGAGTCTCCTGCCCGACCCGCGTCCCCGCGGCGCCGCACACCTTAAGACACCGCTCGCCTCTGCAGCCGCCAGCGCGTGCGCTCACGCCGGCCGCGCCACGCCGGCCAGACCACCCCGTCCCACCCCGCGGTCATCCCCAGCCGCGGAAAGGCCAGACCGTTCCGGAATCGGACGTAGCGGGGTGGAGCGGAGCGCAGAGAAAAGGAGGGGGAAATGTAAGGGGGGACGCGAGACCGCCCCGGAGCCGAGGCCACCCCAAAGGGGAGAGCAGGAAGAATGACAGGGAGACAAGGAGGGGGTGGAGGAGGGGGGCGAAATACAGCCGGACTGGCCTTCTCGGGGCTGCTTTTCCAAACCGCCAGGGCTCATCGGAGATAACCATACTAAAATTAATACCCACACACAGACCGGGACCAGATAGCAGGAAAGAAGTCTCTGCCCGCCTGACTGCCGGCTCCCGCCCCTTTGCGCCAAGATAACTCGGAGATAAGGCTGCGCACAGATAAGCGCTTCGGGGAGAGGAAAAGACACCATAAGTCGGTCCGCGGTGTCCCGGGAACCTGGGTGCCTGCTGGGAGTGGAGAAGGTAGAAACCCTCGAAGCCGATCGCGGCCCGCAGAGGGCCGGAGAGCCGAGGCCGACGGGCCAGCGACGGGTGGGGGGTGCAGAGGAGGAAAGAAGAGAGATCGTGCAAGAGAGGAAGCAGCCGAACCTCGGGTGGGCGCTGCGCATGGAGAACAGCCGTGGCGGAGGGGGCTCCAGAGCGCTGAGAGAGGCCGAGGGCGCCGGCAGGCGAGCGCGAGTCCGGGGTCTGCGCGGTGTTGCTGGTGAATAAAAAGGAGAGAGGAGGCGCCTCTTACAGCTCTGCCGGAAAACTGCAGCCTGCGCTCCTGATTGGACTCACCGAGCCCTAAACAAACAGCGCTCGCCGAAGGGTGCCAGGCTGTGGGTCGGAACTGCGCTCTGCGAGCAGCTGGGCGCTGGAGGTGAAGAGGAGGAGGAAGAGGAGGAGGAGGGAGCTGGGGGAGGAGAGAAAAGAGGGTGGGGAGGAGACGGCGGGCGGCGGGGGGAGGGGAGCGCGCCGCCCGGGCAGACAATGAGCCCCGCGCAGCCTGCGGGTGTGGGCTAAGCCGCGAGCACCGTCCTGGGAGTAGGGGCGAGTCCACCCAGGGGGCGCCGATCCCGGGGACGCCGGGGGAGGGGCGGAGGTGGCAGAACGCCTGACCTGGCTGGCGACCCACACCCATTCCTCCTCCCCCAGTTACACGCGCGCTCAAGGGGGCGGGGGGGGGCGGCGGTGGCGCTGGAGGAGTTGACCGTGCACAGCCCCACGCAGCCGCCGCAGCGGGAGAGACGCGCCAGCTCCTGGTCAGCGCGCCCCCCAGAATAAGGGGGGAAAGTGCTTTCCTCCGCTGGCCTTCCCCGCTCCTCCCTGCACGTTAAATGAGCTTTTAGCTCCGCAGTTGTGTGTGACCGACCTTAAACTTTCCCGACCTCTTCTCGAGACCCTGAGGCTCAGGTCGTGGTGGCCGTCGGGGGTCTCGTCTCCTGTGATCTAGGAAAAGAGGAACTCGAGTGCCCAGCTCCCTATCTCTGCCCTGCTTTTTAGAAATGTACTATATTCCTGGGAAGTTTCGGGAGGTTCACGTCAGCCCTCCCCAGCTAAACTACGGGAACTTTGGGGGTCATGGTGTACGTAAAGATTAGTCCATGAAGTGTGCAGAATGGAAAAGGGTTTCCACGCCGGTCACCCCCGGAGGTGCTTTCCGAGTTTTGGTGTCCCGTTTGCCCTGAGCTTTCCCTGGAGAACTTCAGGTAAGTATCAGATAAGTCGTTGGAAAAAGGAGGGGGTCACCTTCCCAGGTCCCAGCGCGAAATACCTCTTCCCCACCCCCATCCTCACATACACACCCCTTCTTAGTTCCCTCCAAATGGTTATCACAACTGTGTACAAACTGATACGGTCCTTAGCCAGCAAAGGGACTGGAAATGAACGTCGCGGGGTTATCAGCGCCGATCTGTCAGCGGGGAGTCGCGCGGCCGCAGGTTCGTCCGCGGCAGGAGCCGTGATATATGTCTCGCTCCCTTTCTCTCACAAAAAGGATTTCTTCCGACAGATGTGACCCCAGAAGACTGTCGAGAGAGAATTTTAACTAGGGCAGGAGCAGTTGTTTTGTGGCAATGGATTTTTACACTTTTTTTTTTTTTAAGGTAAATCGAAGTAAATGATTTTCTAAAGGTCAGTCTCCCTGAAAGCGTTTGGGCTGTGTGTGTGTGTGTGTGTGTGTGTGTGTGTGTGTGTATGTTTCCAGTTGGGGAAGAGAGAGGAGCCTGAGCAGAGTTGAGCCGGGGTAGGTAGGGCCATAGTAAAATAGGGTTTCGAGAGATTGTGAGACCTCCTGGCTAAATGTATGTTTCCTCTCTATGTGATTGTGAGCTATGAACCTGTGAATCCTGGGGGACAAGGGGCCAGGGTCTGGCAGAGCGGGGGAGGAAAGAGCGGAATCGAGGCAGTCGGCGATTCTTTTTTTTTTTTTTTTATCATTCTTCGTAGTAAATTGCTGCTAAACACTTTTGAATTTTAAATTGCTACCGAAAAGGTCCATAAACCGTTCTCATCCAATTTAGTCACTTTTATTACATTCCTCTTTGCCTCCCCCAATCACTGCGGCGGCTCCCAGTTTCAGCGTGGCCGCAATTCGGAAAAGACTGAAGGTAGAAAACTCTGGAACGGAGACTGGCGACTGGAGCAGGATCCAGGGGCTTTAAAATTTAACCTGAGTTCGATCGAATGCGTCTACCAAAGTAGATAACCCGGCGTCCGCTGTCCACTTAACTCCTACCAGGGCTTCCAATGCCTTTCTTTTGTTTTTTACGTGAGTTCCGATCAAATTTTTACGTAGACTGAGTTTTGCAGAAGCTCCTTTGTAAGCCGTTACAGAAAGGTTGTGGACATTTGATTTCCTTTGAGTCCAACTGTTCTTAAATATTTCTGAGGTTTGCTCTCAAAAGCAAAGTTTTCTTTTTAAAAATTCGTATCTCAATGAGGTGATTTCT